ACAGTTCCTCATTCTCCCACGCTCCCTTCACAGGACGACCTTTAGGAGCAGCCCTCCACCTCACCCGGCCTCTTCTCAGGCTGAGAGCTACAAGATGTAGAGAAGAAACAGCTTCGCCCCCAAATATCCACAAAATGCCTCAGGACCTCCACACAAAGCTGCTGCCTAAAGAAGATTGGTTCTTAGCATCCTCAGAAACAGAAAACAGCTAACATAGACCACCTTCATAAAAAATGAGCCTGAGGGGTGCTGGGGTGGCTCAGTTGGTTAAAGCTAAGCAATCGACTCCTGACTTTGGCTCAGATCATGATCCCACGGTCAGTTGTGAGTTCTAGCCTCGCATTGGGTTCTGCGCAGAGCATGGAGCCTGCTTAGGATTCTCTCTCTCCGTCTCTCTCTCTCTCTCTCTCTCTCAAAATAAATAAACATTATTTAAAAATTGACACTGAAGCTTCCTTTCCATACCACCAAGAAATAATAAACGAAAAAAAAAAAGCAAGATTGCAAATAGCATGTATATAGTACGCTACCGTTTGTGCAAAAGGGAAGGAGACCTTCATGGGAAATTTGCTGCCGCACCTGGAACACCCCTGGAGGACAAAGAGATCAGTGACGCTGGTCGAACACATTAGGCAGCAGGAGTCAGGCGTGGACAGAGGTGTGTCTAGGGCCTCATCTTTGGTGCCCTTCAAAACGTGTTCTTTTGTCATGCACTACCGATTTTTCAAGTTTGAATTAACAAACGTTAAAACGTTTTCAACGTAAAATAAAAACAAACCCGTCTTTATGCAGCAAACCGAACACACTTGTTCATCCGGACAGCTGCTCTCCTGGCACACGCCAGATGCTCGTTTGTCGGACTTAATGAGCCCCGACTTAAAGACGACAAGAGAAAACCAAAAACAAGGCAAATCAGAGGATGTCAAGGTTTCAGGTCTCTGGCGAGCCCTTTACCTGTCTGCCGCTTCCCTGTTACCACAGATCGGAAAAGGGGGCCCTTATATCACAAGCTCTGCAACCAGCGGGGTCCCAGGCACAAGCTTCACAGATGATGACAGGTCTGATCATCTGTCCACACCAGCCATTTCGTAGAAAGAAACCTTTGAATCCAAAACATATGATGCCCTGGAACCAATATGTAGGTATGAAAAATAAATATGCAGATATGAAAAATGATCCTGGAGGGAGATGATGACGGCAAGAACACAGCATCGACCCAAAAATAGCAGCACAGGGGTTAAAAATGTCCATGCACGGTCAAAAAGGTTGGGACATGAAAAGCTGCTCTAAAATTCTCAAGCCAGACCACAGCAAGCGGTGGCCCGAACTTCCAGCGCTCTGTTCCTGGGGACAGTTTAGCCCAAAACGGGACCAGAAGGCTTAAACGTCGCATGCCCTGGTCATCTTCACTCTCGAATTGGTCAAGGAGGGCTCAAACCCCACATTGTAATAAAAACCAGAATAACGTTAGCAGTAGATCACAGCAGAAATTCTGCTACGTGAAATTCTATTATTCTAGAGGTCTCTCTGCTGGGGTTTTTAATAAAGGGCCAGGTTTTGCGCAAAAGATAAGCCAGACTATACCTCTGTCTTCCAGAGGACCAAAGAAATAACCTCATGTTCTGGGCGGAGGGGAACCACTATGCTCTTTCTGGGCTCCTCCAGAGATTACCAGGAGGAAGGCGTAAGTGGGAGAATTAAGGAATAACTGTGAATGAGAAGCCTTTCGCCCAGATGTTATAGAAAAGAAAGCAAGGTGGAGGGAAAGGGGCCCCATATTAACACACAGAGAAAGGGAAACAATTATTCTAAGATGGCTGAACTCTAGGTTATCGAAAACAAAAACGCAAACTCAGAATCAACTCTTAAGAAGGTGTCCATCAATGAATATGCTAATCTTTGCTTCATTCTAGAAAACTCATAAAAACAGAGAAACCAAAACCAAAGGTTTCCTGCCAGAAATAAAGATGACTGGTTATCTTCCAGTTAGATGGGAATTGGCTGTGGCACCTGGGTGGCTCAGTCAGTTATGTGTCCGCCTCTTGGTTTCAGATCATGATCTCACAGGTTCATGAGATTGAGCCCCGCATCAGGGTCCGCATTGAGAGTGAGGAGCCTGCTTTCCATTCTCTCTCTGCCCCTCCCCCGCTTGCCCTCTGTCTCTCTTCCACAATAAATAAACAAACTTCAAAAATAAAAAAAAGGCCTGGGGCGCCTGGGTGGCTCCATCAGTTAACCGTCCAACTTCAACTCAGGTCATGACCTCGAGGTCCGTGAGTTCGAGCCCACCCCGTCGGGCTCTGTGCGGACAAGCTCAGAGCCTGGAGCCTGCTTTGGATTCTGTGTCTCCCTCTCTCTCTGCTCCTCCCCCGCTCGCACTCTGTCTCTCTCTCAAAAATAAATAAAGAATAAAAAAAATTGTTTTTTAAATGAAACTCAAAAAGGGAATTGGCTGGCAAAATGAGGTAAGATATTTATCAGAACCACGAAAGCAATCGTGAAAATACGGGCAAAAGGAAAGGGAAAGAAGAGAACTTTCCCCACGAAAAGTCATCCTACTGCACTTTCTTGTTTATTTCAAGCTTGAGAAAAGAACAGGGACAACACAGGAAAGCCCGTGAAGAAGCTACATCCCCAGCAGAAATCAGTCACACGCTTGTGCTCCTGCCGAGGAGGAGAGGCGCTGTGGGTGCTCCCGCTGCTCCAATGACTAAGGAACTTGCTTAAATGCATTTGACACACGATCCTTGAACTTCCAAAAAGCACTTAATACAGCGGCTCATGAAATCTTCATCTAAAAATGTTCATCCATTTATAATCAAGCTGCATCACGCTGACAAATGGGCAGGAAGGCTGAACAGAGGGAACAGATATTTGGAAGGATATCAGGGACTTTGTTTATCACACTGAAGGATTTCTTTCCCCCCGTTTTTAAAGAGAATCAAAAAGACCTGTGGTCTAAAAGCCGTTAATTACAAAGGGGAGGACGAACAGGAAATGAATTACATGATTCTATAAAAGAAAAATGTTTATAAAAATGCAGTGTGACAGAAAACGCCACAGACGTCTCTGCTACAATGAAATCTGAAATATGTTTAATGAATTGAGGGGGAGGAGACAGTGAAAAAAATTAGCTCCTGATAGAAAATACTGGATGGTAGATATGGGGGGGGGGGACATAGGAAAAGGCAACTGAATATCGAACTTAGCACATTAAAAGCGGTTACTATGTGCCAGGCTCCGTTCTAAATGCTTCAGATATAGTAACTCATGCAAACCTCCAAACAACCTTCTAATCTAAGTACCATTATCATTTCTGTTTTATAGGTGAGCAAACAGAGGCACAGAGAGGTTAACTTACTTGCCCAGGGTTACAGATTGTAAGAAGTAAGGGCTAGGATTCCAACCCGGGCACTCGCACCAAAATCTCTGCTCCTAATCTCTCTGGACTCCCTTAGAATTTAAACATCAAGAGGGCCAGAGAAATACAAGTCATGTATGTGTGAAATCCAGGGTCAGCAGCTCACCCCTTAGTCACGGCTCTGTGATGAGCAGTTTGTGGGCCTTAGTTTCCTCACCTGTGCGCTGAAAAGCCAGATTAGGTGAGCTCTAACCAAGGGATCGGCAGCTCTAAGCGGCCCCACGTGCATGCCGACGATCTACAGTATATGGCCCGGTCTGTTTTCTGACCAGGATATTCAAAGATTAATTCATCCTAAAACAGGCAGCAAGTGGTAGTAAGGGCCTTTCTCTGCCTCCTGACCTTCAGAAGATTATTATGTCCTCTCCATTCAGGCAAATGACAGAGAGTAATGAAAGGGGTACTGTACGGTCTCTCTTTTGGACTCGACTTAATGCGGTTGTAATGAATGGCCCTGGAAAAGCTCTAGGCGCAGACCACATGAGCTGTGCCAAACCTACCAACCCCAGGCCCCTCTCAGGAGCCTGTTCCTGGAACCTACCATTGGATCTGGTTACTGGAATGCAGGTGAAATTGACACACTGGAGGTGGGGCAACCAAAAGAGAGGAACTGGGGAGATTAAAACATGGAATTTCCAAGGTAGCTCCAATTACAGTTTCACGATGGCTAAATAAACCTTGTCTTCTTGGTATACTCCACTCTCTTTGCCAACACCCACTCTTCCGAGTTGAGACCCCAAAATTCATTACGGTGAATTCAACACCCGCTTCCAAACCAACAGACCCCCAGAAATATCCTCCTCAAGCTAGGCCTTAAAGGTCACTCAGAGTGTATCTTACAGGTGGGTCATGCAGTCCTCCTTTGAGAGTCCTTTCTAAGCATCCCTGACAGGTGGCTGTCATCGGGCTCTGCCAGACACTCCCAAGGTCGAGGCACCGGCTGCCTCGCCGGACAGACGGCTGCTTGCGCTGCTGGACAGCTCTCTGTGGGGAAAGCCCACGAAGCGCCTAGAACAGTGCCTGGCGCGGGGCCAAGCTCAGTAAGAGCGCCTCCAACTGGGTCAAAAGCTGCCTCCTTACAACTTGAACCCACCGATCCGGGGTGCATTACTGGAGCCCTGCAACGCAGAGGCCCCTCGGATATCTGGAGCTGTAAACAGGCCCCTCGGCCCTCTCCTTCCCGGTGCGGATCCCCGACCTCCCTCACCAGGCCTGGGTCGGCAGACCCCCTCCCCGAACCCCAGAGGTCCCACGAGTGAGGACCACTGGAAGCATAGCCGGCAGGGAGGCCGCAGTCAGGGATGGCCCCAACCTCGATACCGGGGGCAGGAGGGGACAAAGGGCTTTCAAAAAAGGCGTATCCCTCGCGCCGCGGTCCAGGCTGCCTCCCTCCCCGCCCCTGGGCGAGCCGGCCGTGGGGACCCCTGCGGCGCCAGGTGACAGGCCCCGGAGGATCCGAGGCGCAGGCAGCGGCGCGATGGGGCCGAGCCACGACAGGGACCTCGGGTCTCAGGGATCCGGCCGGACAGGCAGAGGGAGCGGTCTCGGCTTAGCGGAGCTCGCTCGGTCGTGGCTTTACCTGCGCGTGGTTGACTGCCGCGGTCCGGCTTGGCCCCAGCCCGGTTCCCGCAGCTCCGCGGCTGCCGGCGGCGCTCATGGAAATGCAGCCGGAACCCCTGGCCAGTGCAGCTCCCGCCGCTACCGGCCCCGCCCAAGCAACTGCCGCCACGCCCCTGACAACCGCTTCTGCCACGCCCCTGACTCGGAACCCGCCTGCTTATTGGGCGGCCAAGCCGCCGCTCTACGAGCCCTTTGCAACCAGCGGGAACTCCATTGGTCAGCGGAGCTGCTTCTCAGGGTGGAGGCGGGACCCTCGGCAAAGAACTCCTCCACAGTTGGTTACTTTTGACGTCTTTAGCCCGTGGGCTGAGACTCTATTGGATGAGGCCAGCAAAGAGGGGGCGGGGAAAAGGGGAGGTGGGCTAAAAGATGGGTCTTGTTTGCTGTTGATGGGGGCGGGGTGCAGAGAGGGAGGCAATTGCGACCGCGAGCTTGTTTGGGGCGCCGGCTAAGTTCAGGTGTCTCTTGAGTTGAGAGGAGGGAGGCCAACTGGTGGTTAGCTCGGCTGCAGAATCTGATGGCTCCCGGCCTACCGACTCACTCACCTGTAGCCCAGGACACGGCCCGCGACACTGGTCATAACCGGGAGGGGAGGGAGGTTGGTGAATCACCGAGCCACAAGGAGAGGAAAGGATGTGGAGGCCTCAGCCTCTGGCCCCTTCCAGCTAGGTTAGGGTGATGGGGACGTGCTGGGCAGTGTGGACCTGTTACTGTCCCACTTGCCTGTTCAGCCCTTAAGATGACAGTAGCCCAATGGCAGCCTGGAAGAATGCAGCCTTTAGAGTCAGACCTGCCCTTGACGAGTACTGGTTGCGTGGCTCGGAGCAAGTCGCTTGACCTTCCCGCATGCACCCCGATTTCTTCCTTTCGCCACTGGGAGTTAAGAATGGTAGTTGATGAGGAGATTAAATCTGGTAAACACGACGTGCCTGGCACTCAGCAGGCATCTAATCAAAGCTGGTTCTCCACCCACTCACCTCCATGGGTCCATAGAAGTAGGCCCAGTTCTAAAATTCTATGAGCCTGAAACTGCTTTTGCAATGGCATGTGCTTTGCTAAGAATAGAACGTTCGACTGACTGGAAATGCAACTCCTTTTAAGGGGTGGACAGGGCCACCTGACCAGGCCACAGTAGGGCTGGAAGAGAGAGAGGGGGGAGGATGAGACTTAAGGAGCATTTAGTGAGAGAAGGGAAGCAGTATTGGTAGCAATGTTACGTTTTTCCCAGCACATTTCAGGATCATGACAAGGAAGAATGGAGCTTTCCCCATCCTGTTCAGCTTTCCAAGTGTCCAACGGCTTAAGTTTCATGGAGCGTGACCAAATAACCCTTTGAAGGCTGATCAGCACTGGACCAGAAACCACTGCATAAGATCTTTCAGGGACTCCTGAAGCCCAGTCCCCATCCTCAAGGCATAGAAGTCCAAGAGTGTGAACAGAAATAGCCTCTGGCCTGAATTGAGCCCTAGACTCTTTGGGTCTGCCTTTGAGAGAGCCCCCCACCCAAAATGTTCCAGGGTGAACAAGGAGAAAGAATCCTTTGCTGTTGCTGTATTTTTCATCCAGATGTCCCGTTACTTAAAAAAATGTTGCGCCTCACTTATTTATTCCTCTATATTCTCTTAACAACTTGGAAGCAAAAAAGCCAGGCTTCAGAGGCAAAGAATTTTAGTGAGCGAGTGCCATAGTTCTGACTCCTGTTAAAATAGCTTGGGCTAGGGGCGCCTGGGTGGCTTAGTCGGTTGAGCGTCCGACTTTCACTTAAGTCATGATCTCGCGGTTCGTGGGTTCGAGCCCCGCGTCGGGCTCTGTGCTGACTGCCAGCTCAGAGCCTGGAGCCTGTTTCAGTCTGTGACTCCCTCTCTCTCTGACCCTCCCCTGCTCACGCTGTCTCTCTCTCTCCTAGAAATAAATAAAACATTTTAAAAAAAATAGCTTGGGCTACCAGAAAATAGCTTGGGCTGCCAGTTGTGTGTGCCTCTGTGTGTGTGTGTGTGCGCACACACACGCGTGCACACCCATACACATGCATGCGCACACACTTGGTTCTGCTCCACAGTTTTCATGTCTTTAAATGAAAGACATGTTTGGTGGCCATCCAGGACTGTTTGGTGGCCATACAGATGTCTGTACACGTGCTGGGGAAACCGGCGTGGCTGCGGGTAGCTCCTGCCGTGTTTGCTAAAGGAGACCGAGATGTTTTGTTAGACCCTGCAAGACAGTAGAGTGGCTCTTGAGATCTGGGAAGATTTCTCCAGCTGGATTCAGAGCCACGAAAGCAGCTGTTCTAAGTAGATGACTCTACCGGATGGATTTTGTTCCCCCCTTGTCAGGAATATAAGCTTAGCCAAGTGTTCCGGAAGGGGACAGTCATCCAGTTCAGGAATTCTGAAACACACCTGCATCACAAAGGCTCAAAAAGACTTGCAGAATGAGCCCCGAGGAGAAAGAGGGAAAGGATTGCATGCATCTCGGGCTGGCTTATAGAACCATCCACTGCCTTCCTCAACACAGGGAACTCTTCTTACTTGTTGCTGGTTTGTGTCCTCCTCTCTTCTCTGGCTCTTGCCGTATTCTGTTGAATCACTTATTTCCTTCTCTGAAGTATTTCTGTGCGAGGCCATTTAGGAGACAGAATGGACTCATTTTTGCCTTCTGGGTTAGTAGCCTATGGGGACTGAGGATTTGGTGAGGCTTGGCCTGGGATAGCCAGTTTTGAGAACATGGCTATGAAGTATATTTCTGGGGGCGCCTGGGTGGCGCAGTCGGTTGAGCGTCTGACTCTTGATTTTTGGCTCAGGTCATGATCTCATGGTTCTCAGGATTGAGCCCTACGTCAGGCTCTGAGCTGACAGCACAGAGCTTGCTTGCGACTCTCTCTCTCTCCTTCTCTCTCCTTATGGGTGCTTTCTCTCTCTCTCAAAATAAATAAACTTAAAAAAATAAAAAATAAATCCTTGAGGTATATTTCTGGAAGCATGAGAGTGCCTTGTTATAAAGAGAATCAGAGAGAATGTGTACACCCACTCCTGTTCTGGAAAGGCTAAAGCTCCGAGACTCGACTAAAATCAAACTGGCTCTACAGTCACCTGGGGGCTCCTCCACAGGATTTCCTAACCCTCTGAAAAATCCGTGAGGTCCTCCAGGAGACAGCCAGCAGCGGTAGTCAAAGCAGATAGTGTTCTCTGTTTATTCTCTTCTTGCAAAATCAGTGATTCACTTAGCTGGTCAGTTTCATTGTTCTCTATCTTTAGGGGATGGTTGAGAGCAACTGACTTTGGAGGCTCTGCTACTTGGCCTTAAATCCTGGCTCCACCCTTCCTCGCCTGGTGTCCTTGGGCAAGTACCACACCTCTGTGTCCCACTTTCTTCTGTACAATTCAGGTGACAGTAATGATGCTTCCCCAATGGAGCAAATAATAGATGTTAAGTGCATCAAACAGTGCCTGGCATATACTTCGCTCTTAATAAATATTTGTCAGAGTTATGACAGGAAACCACTTAAGAACCTTTCTCGGGGCACCTGGGTGGCTCAGTTAGTTAAGCGTCTGACTCTTGATTTCCACTTGGGTCAGGATCTCATAGTCTTTTTTTTAATGTTTGTTTATTTTGAGAGAGAGAGAAAGACAGTGCAAGCAGGGGAGGGGCATAGAGAGAGGGAAAAAGAGAGAATCCCAAGCAGGCTCCATGCTATCCCAGTGCAAGTCTCGAACTCACAAACCACGAGATCATGACCTGAGCCAATATCAAGAGTCAGACACTTAACTGATTGAATGAGCCACCCAGGCACCCCAGGATCTCGGGGTTTTGAGACCAAACCCCATGTCGAGCTCCGCACTGGACATGGAGCCTGCTTAAGATTCTCTCTTCCTCGCCCCCTGCTCCTCCCGGACCTGTGTGCGTGAGCTCTCTCTCTCTCAAAAAAAAAGGAACCTTTCTCCAAGGTGATCATTTTTTAAATCCCCTAGATACAGTAATCACAGACTTTAGGATTTGTTGTCATATGTACTTTATTTTTTTAATTTTTTTTTTAATTTGTAAGAGAGAGAGAGCACAAGCAGGGGAGGGGCAGAGAAGAGTGGGGGAAACAGAGGATCCAAAGCAGGCTCCAAGCTGACAGCACTGAGCCTGATGTGGGGCTCAAACCCATGAACTGTGAGATCATGACCCGAGCCAAAGTTGGACATTCAATCGACTGAGCCACCCAGGTGCCCCTATACTTCACTTTTTAAAATAGCTTTAAATTCACAGCAAAGAATACAGAAAGTTCCCATTTATCCATCCCCTCCCCAGAACAGGCAGGATCTTTTTTTTCATTTTTCTTTTTCTTTTCTTTTCTTTTTTTTTTTACTAGCAATATCTACCAGCTGGTGAAACTTCTCTGTTGGAATATCCTTACCAAAAGAGGGTTCCAAGGATGGAGTCAAGGTTTTTGAGGCTAGACCTCATCACCATAATGAATGAGAGGAAAATGGGAAAGGATGTGGCTGAGAAAACAGTGCTAAAAACTGCAGTCTGGATGTTCATGAAATTTCTCAGAAGGCCTAAGAGTGTCGGCTCTAATGAGTCAAAAATTGCTACTTTCTTTTCACACCCAGCGCTGCCTGTGTAAAGTCTAGACAGGGAGCTCAGAGTTCTCCGTGGCCAGGCTTCCTGGCTCGATTCTTCTTGATAATGGTGATGAAGTTTGCTTAGAAGCTCTAAGTCCCAGGATGCAATAGTTGCAGGAGAGCGAACTATGAGGAAATTCAAGGGTTTGGCTTGTTTTGTTATGGAAAAGCTTCCTGCCGGCTGTTTTAAGCAGTGATGACTCATAACTTTGTGTTTGGGCTGCTTCCTTATGAAGTTGTCTATAAAAAAACATAGGGTGGTTTTATGCCCATGATAGTCTTGGTTTATGCCTATTGCCCTGGAAAATTTTTTTTAAATTTTTAAAAATGTTTTATTTATTTCTAGGAGAGAGAGAGAGAGAGAGAGAGAGAGAGAGAGAGAGACAGCGTGAGCAGGGGAGGGTCAGAGAGAGAGGGAGTCACAGACTGAAACAGGCTCCAGGCTCTGAGCTGGCAGTCAGCACAG